GATATCAATAGCCTTACGATTACCCAAAAAAAGGAACTGAAAAGAGATATATGGAAACCAAAGAAGAGGAAACATGTAAACGTGTATGTAAAATTATGGAATTAAGTTCTTTACGTGCATTACTTAAAATATTCTCTTTCGTTATGAGCCGAGTTTATGTGTACATAAGACACCGAGAGAAACAAATTATGACATTTTAAAGGCTGCTAATCTGATAAATTTTCTTGCACACATGTAGTACATTTTTATGTTCAAATGACGAGAAGGAAAACTAATACTTATGGTATTTATTTTCAGTAATGAATTTTTGTCATCTAATGTGTATATGAAGCTACATTTACATAAAGAAACAACCTCTGTACCTAGATATCACTAATTAACTTTCTTATTCATTCACTTTCGTCAACTCAGCACCGTTTCTGTTCTGCTGATGATGTTATGAGCAACGTAGCAAGGTTCATTATGAATAAATTTATGTATGTGTATATAGACATAGATATTCTTGAATTTTCCACTGTAATGTTGTTGTTGTATAAATTTAATTATTTCTTATTTTCAAGCTTTTTAAATACATTTTTAATTAATTAATTAATTAACTTTTCCTTGTGTTCATTTTATAATTAAACTCGACACTGTGTGGTGTACGTACTCAATTAAATGTAGATTGACGAGGAGAAAATGAATGTGCCGCTTTAGGCATCAACTGTTTTTTAATTAAATTTAAAATTAATTAGTTTCTCGCACGCGTTTTCACGGAGATAATAATAATAGTAAAAACAATAATAATCAGAAAAATGTGCATTATATCCTTTTACTAGCACAAAGACTCATTAAAAATTATTATCTTTTTATGAATGTGTTTGCATGTAAGCTGAATAATTTTATTTAAGGATCTTCCTTTGAATTTTTTTATTAATTCCTGCTCTATCTACTTTTAACTTTGAAAAATTATTTGAAATTAAAAATAATCAAATTTTGATAAGACCTATTAAAACAAAGAGTCAATCATATAGGCAGGGATAATTAGGGAAATTTCATCTCATGCTTTACGAAAAGTTGATAGAAAAAGAAATTTAAAATTGCTATGGCTTTTCATAATTTTGTTTAACATCTCCTTCTCTCTTTAAGTTCTAGCTAGAGGTGTAGCAAGGGGCCAGAACCCCATTTGTAAAGAAAACATACAAAAATTCGTTACACAAGGGCACAGGGACAAAGCCAGAATTTTTCAAAGATGGGATTTTAATACTTTCTGTATGAAAAAATTCAGGCTAGCTCAAAAGCCTTAGGGGTCGTTCACTTATGACGTCCATCAAAAAACCTGATTTTTAGAACCCCCTCCCACCCTCTGTCACAAAAATTCTATAGAAAAAAATTTCCATTGTTTAAACTGTCACAAAATCCTAGACCCCCCCCCCTCCCCCCCTAAATGTCGGACATCATAAGTGAACGGCTCCTTAGCAAGTTGAAGAATTGTTGACCCCAAGTTGACCCTATGAACGTGATTTCGACTTCGTTGCTGCTTTAAGTTACGAAATATCTGACCAACCTATAAATTCTACAAAATGTTCTCATTTAATCTGTTTTTCCTAACTATTCAGCTTCGAATTTCAATTTTTCAATTCAATTACAAAGCGGATGTATCAATTTACTCATAAAGCTTATAGATACAAACAATTTTGTAGATTAAAATATTATAGCAATGAATACGGAATAAAACGCAAATTTGAATATATTACAAACACAACGTAGCTTGTAAGGATAAAAATTTATTGTGGACATATAAACGAAAAAAATGAAATAATTCGATCCTGTTGCCAATTTTAGCCTAAAAATAAAAAAATAATTTTAATTTTCTTCTTTTTCCTCCTCTCTTTCCCTACATCCCATCAGCCTTTCAATCGCCTTTCACTCCAATGATTTTCAATTAAAAATTATTTTCCAGCTTTTATTTTCAATTACATCAAAAAATTGTTTTGCGTAAACAACAACAAACAGTGAGCAGAAATATAATGTATTATGTCGGGGTGGTAGATGTGGATGGAAAAAAATTCAATTAAATTTCACATGCTCTTCCGCAGATGTGTAATATTCAATTATGTTTTTTTCCTCTTCTCATATACATGCATATACACTTTTGATGTTATTTTTTCTCTATATGGAAAATTATATTACTTTTTTTTTGCTGCGCTTACACATGAAATAATTATTTTAACGATGTTTATTGAATGAGTGAAATAGAAGGCTATTCATTCATCAGTGAGTTATTATATTTTGATTCAATCATATGCCTTTCTATTTATTTACATATGCGTCTGTATCAGTATGTACATATTTAAGCTCCTTCAAAATTCAATTTATTTTTCGAACGAAATTGTGAATTTTTTCACAGTACATTCCGTCATTCTATTCTGAATACCTCAACAGTCAACTCTGAAATGAACATGCTGTTTATGTTTTCATTTTTCATGTACCGCATGTCAATCTTTTAAAAGAGAATTTCCACTGGAAACACAGGAAAAATAGAGAATATAGACTGAAATAGTATATCACAAAATTGGACTCTCATCCATAGCAGCATATCACATAACAAAAAAATGTGTACAATTTCCATCAGATTTGGCGAATTGTGGGTGGAAAAATTCAATTTAATGTTCAACTCAAATTCTCATCCATTTTTTATCTTCAACTTCTCAGCCATATAGAAGGAAAAAGAAGGAGGATAGCTCGGTCATTTCATTCTTTTTCCATTTATATGATTACGTTGAGTGAGTGTGATTTTTATAGCAAAATTGTATGGATAGTATGGGCTATAGAGGATTCTTTTTTTTAAACTAAACTTTATCTTTATAATTCTACATTATTATATATTGTGAGGTGAAAAAGATGGATAACTGAAATGGGAAGCATAAAGTAATTTATTTCCATCAATTCCTTAAAAGTGCCGTCAATAAATTTTGATGTCAATTGAGAGCTTAATAAAAGATACATTAGTTGATATTGCTTTAATATTTTAAAAATTAAAATATGAATTCTTAACATTTGAAATTGAAAAAGAAAATGCTGCGAGATTTAATCCATATCCTCAATTTTAGGGGACACAAATTGGCATAAAAAATAACCGTTAAAATGTGCACATTGCAAGAATTCAAATTCATTGTTTTTTTCATGTTTGAAACATTGAAACATTGAAAAGTATGAAAACTTTTCTAACCCCTGATATTATTGTTTTTGTTTGATCAACTTTATTATTTTATTTTTGTAAATCATCAATTAAAATGGCTACCTTAACATCTCTTCCAAACGAAATACTTATTCAAATTTTTGGTCATTGTAAGGTTCTTCCATTGACATTAGTATCAAAGCAATTTAACAATTTAATAAGCAATACACCAAGTTTAATGAAAAAGTTTCATCTTCTAATTACTGAAAGATCAAAATACTTGGAAATTGCTCAAAGTAAGCGAAAACATCAGAAAGTATTAATTAAATTTAACTACAAGATTAACAGCTCGATTCTGGAAGTGCTAAAAACGTTAAAGGATCAAATAAAGAACTTGGAATTAATGAGATGCATTCTTACTGAAGATCTTTTTATTGAAATTATGGAATCATTACCTAATTTGGAAACATTGTCCATTTATACAACTTATTTAAAAAGCAATTTGGAATTTAAAGAAGCAATAATGAAGCCACTTGAGTGCATGAAACATTTAAGGATTTTAAACTTTAGAAATTCTGATCAAAAGTTCCTGTATCTTCTAAAGAAATCAAGTTTAATAACAACAATAAATATTTCTTTGCCGCATCAATATCCATCTAACGTCATTACTGATTTTCTTCAAGATCATCAAGATGTCGAAATTATAGAAAATTTAATGGTATCAGAAATTGAACAGACAATTCTGCTTTATGTTTTATGTAACATGAAAAACTTGAAGAAATTGTGCATTGAAATAGACAAGATTCAAATGGAAGAAATAAGAAATCTGGAAATAGAAAATACATCAATCCGAACTCTTAATTTATATGGAAGTCCATTAGATCCAGTTGATTTTAATATTATTATTGGCTTTTTCAAAAACTTAGTAAATCTTGAATTAGAGATTAATAGTGTACTTGAACCAATCAATATGGTTCAACTTCAACGATCAGCTCCTCAAATTAAATCACTGAAAATTATGAACTGCTACGGTGATTTCTTCAATCAAATTACTCTATCAAATTTGAAAATTTTTGAGATTTACGACATATCTTCTTTTTCACAAGCCGATTGGATAAGCTTTTCACGGAGAAATACAAAAATTGAAGTTTTAACAATCAAAGATGAAGCAGTGACAAATGAGATTTTTATGACAATCACTCAAGAACTGAGAAATCTTCGATATTTTGAAGTATTTTATGATCCACAACGTTTAACCAATGAAATTTTAAATTATATTTGTGATCCTTTATTTCCTCAAAACATAAGAACTGTTAAAATAAGAAAACGACATTGGCTGCAATATTCAAATAGCTTTTTCAGCTTAACAACTGAACATAAAAACTCACTGAATAAAAATCTAGGCTTTACTTTAATACTTAAATAAAATAAAAAGAATAAAATTTGATTATTGGAGAAAAATTATATTGAAACCAAATTTAGAAGATAAATAAAGAAAAATTGAAAAATAAACTTACATGACCTCGTGTTTCCTTTTAAAAACCGTTGTTCAACAGAAAAAAATAAAGTTTATCAATTCAAGGGGCTAGCTATAGAAAGTTTCTTGTCCCTCTATTGTTTAAGTAGATTTAAAAAGATATTTTTTAATTTTGATGTTTTTCACATATTTTAAGACTACTCATCATAAATAAAGTAAAATTTCTAAGTAATAAAGTGCATTTAAATTGTATTTTTACGCCTACATAAGTTTTTAAACGTGATATTTTGAGATATTAGTGAAAAAAGTTTAAAGATATTTGATGATTTAAAAATCTTGATTTTTCAAAACAAAGAAAATTTTATAAATTCAAGGTGACAATGCATTTTGTTAAAGAACTTATTTAAAACAATCATTAATTAATGAAAACTTTTAAATATAGAAGCGTTAAAATAAAACTGAACCTTATTGCGACCAATTGCGACATTTAGAATCACAAGACTAATTTTATTTTATCTTTTAATAGATGGATTCGAATGTTCGAAATAATAAACAAACTCAAGCGAAGAAGCTAATTGAAAAATATTTTTTTCAAATAACAGTTGGATGTGGAAATGCCGATTGTCAGAATAAATGTTGTCTTAGTTCAGGAAACTTGGAAAAATCATTGACACCAAATCAAGCAGCTGTTAAAGCTATTCAACTTTATGTTGAGGAAGCAAATCTCTGCGAAAATTTAAAAGATACAGAAGAAATACAGAAAAAAAATTCATCATCCTCTGAGGATATTGAAATGGAAGTAACTTCTAGTAAAAAGTAAATTATTGTTTTCATTTATGATTTTTAAAATTTCTCAAAATTACCCAGCTTTACAAATCATTTCAGGACCAATGCGGAATCTGATTCTATGAAAAAAATCGAGCCATCACATTCTAGTCTCAATAAAAAATCGAATGACAATCTTTCTCCTAGTTCACCAACAAAAGAACTCGCATATATTGATGAGGCAAAACTGAGCGAAATGATTGAAATTTGTGAGGAAACCAAAAATTATGCACCAATAATTAGGTCTTTGGGAAGTGTCTTTTCAGATAAAGACTCTGTGTTAAAAAGTTTTCAACAAAAACCCAAAAGCTCAGTTGACGTAATATTAGATAGAGTACAACAAGTAAGTGCTATAAAGACAATGAAAAAGGAAGATATTCGTACATTAGAGGATGATGAAAAGGACCAAGACTTAATGGATTGCGAAGAAAATAAGGACGTGAAAATACCATCCTATTCAACAATTGATTTTGAGAGCTTAAGGCGAAGTTTCCGAAGATTGTACGAGAAAAATTCAAAAGTTTTTGAAGCATTAGATAATGCCATTCAAAGTTTAGCAACATTGATACAAATTGACATGAGGATCATGAGAGAAAATGAACAATTTGAAGAAGTTTTATGCTGCATTGTCATTTTATTCGAAATATTTCAAATTGGATCAAGCATGTTAGAACAATCAATATTTCGTACACTAGCTGCAATTACAGCACTTCCGACTTGGGCGCAAGCTAAGCTTGCTCATATTTGGAGCTCTCAATGCAAAGAAGGTTTGTATTTCTATACATATTATAATGGCTATAAAATTGTCTCTTATCTATTAATTTACAGGTCTAAGGCCAATTTTGTTAATTTTACAGCAAATTATAACACTCCAAGTCATAGCAAATACTTATCATCGTGATTTTCATGTTAACGACAATGAAATTGTTTCAAATGCAACGAAAGTAATGAAGATTGTGTTCTGTGCAAATCTTCTCGTAAGTGAAATGATTGAATTACCAAAATATTTACCTGAGCAATCAAAAGGATCCGGCAATGAAGAATCAATGCTTGAAGAGGAAGACGAGGATGATTTTAGTTCAATATTGTATCAAGTTGACTCGTCAAAAAATAAGCAAACATTTGAAGATCCATTAATGAAAGAATTGAGTATTTCCGTGCACGATTGCAACGAACCATTCATTCCATATGAAGAATTCCAAAATGAGCCATTATGTGATGTCATTGAAACTGACGAAGATTACATGCGTTACAGAAATTTGGTGTTTAATGATAATAATTCCATGCCATTTAGCTCCAATAAGAAATTTAGCTTCGTTGTTTACTCATTTGTATTAACGCCTTCAGCAAAGACATTAGCATTATTTTTTGATAGTCGTGTTAAAATGTATTCCGAAAGGAGAACAATGTTACTAAATATGGCGTATTTAGGAACCATTAATAATCCTTATTTAAAACTTAAAATTCGAAGAGACTTCATTATTGATGATGCTTTAGCAGAGTTAGAAATGGTTGCTTTAAGCAATCCAAAAGATCTCAAGAAGCAAATCTTTATTGAATTTGATGGTGAGCAAGGAATCGATGAAGGTGGCGTTTCAAAAGAATTCTTTCAGCTTATAGTTGAAGAAATTTTTAATCCTGACTATGGAATGTTTACAACTAATGAGGATACTCAAACATGCTGGTTCAATTCATTTTCATTCGAGAATGAAGCACAATTTACACTTATTGGAATAGTCTTAGGTCTAGCCATATATAATAGCATAATTTTGCCATTGAATTTCCCGATGGTCGTCTATAAAAAATTAATGGATGTACGTAATTCATGGCACGATTTAAAAGATTGGAATCCAATACTCTACAATAGTTTAAAAGCAATTCTGGATTATACCGAGCCTGATATGGAAGAAGTTTTTTCACAGACATTTGAGATTGGCTATGAAAATGTTTTTGGAGCACCAATTAAGCAATGCTTGAAAAGTGATGGAGAAAAAATTCCAGTAAATCAAAAAAATAAACAAGAATTTGTCGAGCTTTATGCTGATTTTGTATTAAATCAGAGTATTGAGAAACAGTTTAAAGCCTTTAAGAAAGGATTTCAAATGGTTACAGATGAAAGCCCTCTCAAACTTCTATTTCGTCCTGAAGAAATTGAGTTGTTGGTTTGTGGTTCAAAGAACTTTGATTTTGATGAGTTAGAAAAGTCAACAGAATACGAAGGAGGATATACCGCTGAAACAGAAATTATTAAACATTTCTGGAGCGTTGTTCATGGATTATCGCTAGAAAATAAGAGAAAATTGCTTCAATTTACTACAGGTATTAAGGATTGAAATAAAATAAAAATTAAATATTTTTTAACTTAAACATACATTAATTACAGGTTCCAATCGTGTTCCAGTTGGTGGTTTAAGTAAACTTAAGTTAGTAATAGCTCGTCATGGACCTGATTGCGATCGTTTACCAACAAGTCACACATGCTTCAACATTCTACTACTTCCAGAATATAGTTCAAGAGAAAAAATTGAGGAACGTTTACTTAAAGCAATAAACTACTCAAAAGGATTCGGAATGTTGTAAAAACATAATCATGAATGGAAAGCATTTTTCATCTATATTTAAGTTTCTCTTTTGTTACTTTCGTTGATTTTTTACTGGTTTCAAACTGGATATGTGTGCATTGTGCACTGATAGAATAAAACAGGGCTCGTGAGGAGTAAAAAACATTTTGATTTTCTGAAATCTGTTATTTGTGTGATTGAAAAAAATCATGATTTTTCAAATCCTACGTAAATCTTCACATAGGATTTCATTACGTAGACAAAATCTCAACGTAATGATTTTCATTACGAATTCAAAATCTTTCCGTTAGGATTTAACCTACGTGAATTGGTAATTGTTTACATTTTTTGGAAACTGATTGTTTTTATTGAAACTTGACAAAATTAATGCCTTAAGGACATCAAATATATTGATATACTACAAAGATTGACTTATGAGCTCGGAATAGCAAAGATAAATATATTTTAATAACAATATTATGCTCTATATTAAACCGAAATTAAATTTTAGGAATAATGAGGAATTTAAGTGACACAACATAATGTCTTCTACGGATTTTGGCAATAGATTGGATCGTAAGTCACTCAAAAGAATTCTCAATGCGCTAAACGATCGCTCTACTGAAGACTGATTGCTAGGAGTAGCTGCAACAGCCAAACAAGTGTCCAACATGAGCCTGTCATACGTAAATTTAAACTTCAAGAACTTAAATATGTCAAAATCATCAACAGATGCCGAAACTCTATGCTGTATGCAGCATTTCATAATTTTTTCTAACACAGCTGCTTCGTTACTTCTTTTAGATCCAGTTGGAAGTTGATCTTCATCCAAATACATGTCGAATTCTGTAAGATTGGAATTTAAATGGGCTTGCTCAGCTGTTTTTGGATCATTTGAAATGAAAGTTTCAATAAAAACAATCAGTTTCCAAAAAATGTAAACAATTACAAATTCACGTAGGTTAAATCCTAACGGAAAGATTTTGAATTCGTAATGAAAATCATTACGTTGAGATTTTGTCTACGTAATGAAATCCTATGTGAAGATTTACGTAGGATTTGAAAAATCATGATTTTTTTCAATCACACAAATAACAGATTTCAGAAAATCAAAATGTTTTTTACTCCTCACGAGCCCTGAGAATAAATATCAGAAAAATCAGTAACAGAATTAATTAAAGACAGAAAAGCGTAAAACGTATATAAATACATTAATCTTTTCATTCAGACATGTCATAAACTAGAATAAATGAAAATAGTACTTAAAAAATTAATTTGTATTTAATTGAATAGTTTAAAAAATGTTTGTTTGTCATAAGAGAAAGTATTGAGTTAGATATTTCTGGATTAATTTAATTTGTCATTTCACTGACAAGCATTCATTTACTTTCCAATCATATTATTTAAAAAAACAAAAACTCGAAATATTAATCGTTTTCATTATTATTATTTTTTTTTTATTTTATGAATACATTACTAAATCTACAAAGAATATTAAACCATAGTTTTTTAGAACCAAGGGAACCAAATAGGATCCATATGAGATAAAAAGTCTTGGTTTCTGGCTTTTTCAATTAGTTGTGAAACTTTTGTTTCATCTTCTGTTGTATCAAATGTCATTATTTCTTCCAAGCGTTTCAACGCAAGGTTTACTGACTTATCTATTGATTCAATAACGTTATCTGAATTAATTTCATTGTAGCTTTTATCTTGTGAAAGATCATCATTCAAATCAATTGGTGTTGAATTCATGATAATACGACGGAAATACATAATATATTCATCGCGCAGAATAGTTCTTAGAATTGTTGGAACCTATGAAAAGGACAAAAAATTAATATCTTCAAAAGGCTTATAAATAAAATTTTACCTGAAAATTTGGCTGCAAAAAGCATCGGGAAGTAGCCATCATACAAGCTGTATATGGACCCAATACTCCTACATTTGATATAAATTCAGTAATGTTTGGAGTAAGCCTAAATGGTACAGGTTTTAGTGAACTCATTTCACCATTTGAATCATCCAAATCAAACTTATAATAAGACACGTTTATTAATCCGGAATCTTGATGCACATACATTTGCTCTGGATTAAGTCTTGTTAAATGAAATGCATATTCAACTGTAGACCAAAGTGCAAGTTGAAGTGTAAACATCTTTCTGAAAGTCCAATAATCGGTAGATGATGTAAATGCTTGATTTGCCCAATCTTTTAAAATTGTTTTAGGAATCATTTTCTTTTGAATCTCAAGGAAAATATCTTTGAGTATCATATGACTTGTTTGAGCACCTCGTCGTTGAATTTCAATTAATCGTTCATAATAACTAGATATTGCAGCATTGTAGTCAGTATTTGATTTAGAACTATGCATCTTTAGTATATCCAAAAGTGAACTACTTGATGGATTATCTTCAACAAGTCTCATTTGTGGATATATTGGAATCACTCGAGGTATGGTTATCGAGAGGAATCGTCTACTGGTCTCCTTAAATTTAGTCAAATATCCACTGAGCATTCTTAATAGTTGAAGTACTCGTTCTTCTCGTCTTGCATCTATCATTCCCGAATCATTGACAACTAAGTAGGGATAAATCTATAAAAGAATATTAACGGTTAATTAAAGGTACATTTAAATTCATCTCATATTTTTTTTTACCTTTCCGTTCGTTCCTTGTATTAAAACTCTTCTTGCTGAAGTATTATGCTTTTGTACGATTTCAACTCTTGGCATGAACTTTGCTATTTTAATATGATAATGTGAATGTCGTGGTAATAAAAGCTCTCCCGGCAAATCGATCTCTGCAGTTTTATTACTAAAGTTTGATAAAAATCTGTATTTTTCTTCTATCAAAAAAGATCTGTAATGAATAAGAAATGTTGTTACGAAGATGTATAAAGAACTTATATAAGATAAATTTACTTTGACAAATATTTAACTTTCATCTCCATAATTTTTATGCACGCTTTTAGTCTTTTTATGAGATCTATTAGTTTGTTACTTTCAGGCTGTTGAAAATTAAATCCTTCTATGAATTGTTGACGAAGTTTATTAAAAACTGGATCTTGTAGTAAATTTTCTGATGCATTTTCAGATGCTATTGAAAAATTTGAAATCAATTTCCTTATAAAATTCACAGTGTGCTGAGTAGTAGTTGCTTCATTTATTGAAAGTCGATTATCAAATGCGATTCCATAGCATTTTGCCAAACCTTGTTTTAATTGATGCAAGTTTTCTTCAAATACATTTTCACGGAACCAACGTGTTCCATCTATATCTGACTTTGACATTAGCTGATCTAAAATATTTTCTAAAGAGCAGACAATTGTTGGATGAACTTCTCTTACTAGTTGCATAATTTTAGAGCATCGCCACATTGCTGGTGTTGATTTCATTGACAACATATTAGACTGATTCATTGTAGAAGTTCCTGGTTGATCTCCAAAGCTCTTGAAATGTTCAATGTTTTTATATCTCTCACGCTGTTCAATTTTCAACATCAAATAAAGTGTTCGAATGGGAAAATAAACAGCTTGTGGGAATATTTTTGCTATTTGGTTAAGCAAATTCATAATTGTATCACATTCATATTGAACTAATGCATTAAAAAGCTGAGGAATCCATGAAAGCCAGTTAATCATTGGAATTCCAAACATATAATTGTCCATAACCTTAAACATGTCAGTTCGAGTTTCATTGTATGTTAAAAGCCATAGAACTTTCGCCAAGTATTTTCTTGATTTCATTTCATTGTGCTCACGAGATGCATGAAGGAAACAAGTTAGTGCTGATATTCCTGACGATACTGCTTTTTTAGGATTTCTTTTAAAAAGATTTTCCATATATTCTCCATAAAATGCCCATACCTTCGTCGAATTATCACATAGTTCAACTGCAGTTTGAAATAATTTATTAGCATCTGCTGTGTTTCCTAAATATGTTTGCAAATATCCTTTATATCCATGCAAAATTGATTTCAATTCAGGCTGAAATAAATCAAAGTTGACATTTTCAACAATTTTCAATGCATCTGTAAGATTAATTTTCGGATCACTGGCATATTGTGACAAATTCATGAAATATTTGATTTGTTGGACGATTTTTTGGAAACAATCTGCTATTGGGATCGATGCGATCGAATCAATTTCTGTTAAAGATTTCTGACATGAAACCGACAAGTTTTGCTTTCTTGCAATTTTCGCAAACTTTATATAGGTTTGTGCTGATGCTTGAGATCCTAAATTTGCTACCACATGGTTACTGCCGCTCGCATTTTCAACAATTAATTTATAATGATGTTGACGCCATGTAAATATGTCTTTCCAATGTGACAAATCATCAGATATTATCGGTAATCTATTTCTCCATGTTTTGATGATACTTTTCATATCATGAAACGGTAAAGCTTGTTTTCTTAAAAGATCTTGATGTATTTGACCAGCTTCTTGCAATTCCATGATTTGTTGAGCGTTTTGCAGAATTGGAATATGTGCATTTGAAATAACGTGAGGCAAATGTCTCCACTGATGTAAAGATGCCATAGAAGCATTTTCTATGTATTTTGCAATAACAGTTTCCTTTTGACACAAAAGAGAAATATATCCACCATATAATCCTACTTTACTATCATTTTGTTTAGAAATTAGCTGCTCAGCTCTTAAATATGATTGATGCATTAAGTTCCAATCAGACATTTTCCACGCACAGTCTATTATATGAAGTATAAATTTATCCTTATTAGTTGCAGTATAGCTTAGTAAATTGCTCCAATCATTCAATTCTCTTGTACATCGAATCCAATGATCTTCCCACAATTCAATTTCGTCACTTATAGAGACAGTATTCATTCCATTTGATACATCTTGTTTGAATTTCAACAATACATTTTCATAATTATTTTGAGCTTCTTCAAAATATCCCATTTGTTCATAAAATATAGCAATATTGGTTTCTGGATACTTGGCATGGGTTTTCCACAGACCAGCCCATAAGTCTTCTTCCTTTAACGATGAGTAGAGACTTGAAAGTGATCCAAAAACCTCGATTAACATTTCATCTTCTGGCTCTTCATCGAATTCTGATATTTCTAAATTTTCTCGTTCCTTCATGAAGCTTTCAAACATATCTTCAGTCAACAAAGCAACTGTATGCCAAGTATTGTGAATTTTGCTAATAGATTTTAACAATTTCGGTGACATTGGCACTGGTGGATTACAAATTGAAAGAGCTTGAACAAATGTATTAAGAGCACTCTGGTTGACGCCATTTAAATTTATTTTTGTTCCATTTGATAGAAACGGGATAATTTCTTTTGTCAACTCAAGGCGTTGTGAATAATCGAAGTTAGACCATAACTGTGGAAACACTTTTATCCACAATTTTTCCGAAAGTTTTTTGTCAACATGGCAAATTTGAACAACACCTTTTAGGAAATTTTCAGTATTTAACTCATGTGATATTTTCGAAAATTTCATTTGCGATGATGCAAGTTTTGCGATAAACAGATCACGACTTCCAATAGCATTGTATGAGTTGACGATATTGCTTATCTCTTCGTTGTTTTCGTTCAAATCAAAATCTTTAAAGTCTTCATTTTGTTGACAAAACATTGGTATCATATCGATAGATTTTGTTATCTTAGGAAGTTTGTGGTTATTGGCTGTCATATTAAATATACTGTCACAATCGACAGTAAGAAATAATAATTCAATACATTGTTTTATCCAATAATGATGGCTTATTGAATCCCACGTTCTTGTAGATAGAATATACATTAGGCGAGTGTATACACTCTTCTCAACAGTTTTGTTAAAATATGTGAAAAATTTCTGCCTTATATCATACTGAGTGCACTTTAAGCCACCTAAAAATGCATGATCTAATCTTGATGTTAGTTCAATAGTATTTGTTTGTGGATTGGAGAATATGTAATAAATCAACTCTAAGAATTGACCATTTAGAGCAGAATCACTACTAAATCTGTTTTCAACATGGTAAGTTAATTTTTGTAAAAGTAATACTTTTTCTCTTAAGCATGGTTCATTAAGTGGATCTTTCAAATGAAACCAACTTTCAAGAAGCTGAATAATAGTTTTGATTATTTTTGAATCGCTGCTCTTTTCAATTAGGTCGATCAGGATCACATTTATATAAGTTTTGCGTGTTTCAGTTGACATTATGCTTAAATAAATCTTCAATAAATGCAATGATTGCATCAGCATTTCTTTAGTTAATTCATTATTTGGTGACGGGGTTTGTGATGGAGCCTGTTGTTGAGAATTAACATTTAGATGGTCTGTTTTCAGCAAAACTACAAATCGAGTGAACTTTTCTACAAACTTTTCAAAATATTTACTGTCATTTGAAAAAGCAGTCTTAAGTATTAAGAAGGTTCCAAAAAATGACGCCGTTGGAGTTTCAGTATCCTTTTCAAAAACTTCAAGTCCATTTCTTATAGCTTTTTCAACTGTTTGATACAAGAATCTTAATTCATCGTGCTTCATGTAAATTTCAGGTGGAAATAAACTGAATAATTTGGATAGGAATGTAGACATCAATCTTAAAACTTTTGTTTGTGCACTTGTAATACAAATTGCCAAACCAGGTTGAAGAGTTTTTATAATCAAAAGTAATTTTGTTTCATCTAATTCATCTAAGAGATGAATAAAAATTTCCAGGAAATTGCAAACAGTTGTACTACTGACTTTTGATGGCTCCTCAAAAACTTTTTTTAGACGAGTCAGTTGTAAATCTTCGTTTTCTTTTATCCAAACTTCTTTTTTAAGAACTTTTTTCAATAAATTTAAACTGTGCTTTGATATTACTTCATTGGGGGAGACGATTGATGACAATTGCGTTGTAATTTGCTCACTTAGCATGAAAAGTAAATCAAACAGAAAATTTATTACAGATTTACAATGAATCCATTCGATTGGCTTGTTTGATGTATCGTCAATTGAGATTAAGGACATTTGAGATGTTCCTGGTTGTGGTGAATATTCTCCGATGGCTTGCTTTTTTATAGTAGATTGTAGCAACTCTTGGTGACTTCTTTTAATCCCACCTGTTGTTGTCATTTTTTCTTGTTCTTCAGCATTGTCTTTTATTCTTTTTAATTCCCAATTTATTATTACTTCAGCAATATCAATAGCTAATTTTCTATAGTCTATAGAATTTGATGATTCTAGTCTTTGCATTGATTGAATCATGTTTTGAATAATCTCATGCCTTACTGGATAATAAATAGAATGATGTCGAATTATAACTTGAAATACATGATAAAGTTGTAATATTGCATGTCCATCTTTTATAATTACTGATTTTGTAAGATTAATCAATGACAAATTTGATTGATCATTCATTTTAAGCGGCATCATTGGCATAAACACTTCTAATGTTTGACGGACTATATTTCTAGCTTCGATAGCATGTGCTTTGAGGAGAGAATGGAAAACTTTAAAAACCACTTCTTGCCATGATTTTTTGTTTGCAAGTTTAGCAATAATGTGCGAAAGAAGTAAATGTCCGTTATATACAGCAGTTGGATCCCAAAAATTCTTTGAGTGAAGCAGACTTGAATATCCGAAAGTTGTCAGCTGTCGAATATCTTCTTTTTTATTACTTTGAATATATGGAGATGCACGTTCAACCAGTAAACAGGCAAATTGAAGAAGAACAATTCTCAATCCATCATCATTTTCTTTCATCATAAATGGATTAACAATTTTGTTAATAAATACTGAAATTATATTACTTTCTTCATCTTGAGTGAGTCCTCTAATCAAACGACTTTCTTCTCCTTTATCGAAACTTATTGCAAAGCTTGGTATAAGAATCATCGTTAATATTTTAATTTTTAAATCTGTAGTCACTGTAGGACGATTATAATAATCCACAAACATGAAAAATGCATTTCTCTTCCAATCAACTGTATAGTTTTGACAAATAGTATAGATGAAATCACGGAAGAACTGTTTAGAAAAATTAAAGTTAGGTTTAATTTCAATATTTTATGGAACATTATTAACAGCTATCCTGTTAGACTTACTTGAAAATCAGGCACAAATCTGACATTAAAAATGTTGAGTAATTGAAACAAAAGATCAATATCTCCTATTAGAAAAAATTTGCATTAGTTTGTTATGTAAAAAATGAAACAAAGGGAATTTACCTGGATTGTGTTCAAAATAATGCAACAAAATTTTCGTCACCAAATGCCAGTAATCGCACACCATGTTATATTGATCAACGTTTTTATTCAAATCGATTCTCCATATATGGTTAAGAGCATCAACAATGCCCATTTGAGAAGAGAGCCATTGATTGTTAAGCTCAGTTATTGTCCTTATTATCAAAATAGCATGATATTGTTCATTTTTACTAGGTGATGAATTTACTCTCAATATCAATTCTTTGAGTCGACTACTCCTGTTTTCCATAACAGATTTAAATACGTTTCCATCTTTATTTTTGAGAAGGAAAATTGTAAATCTGTTGTACTGCTGGTTTTTAATTTGCTCGTCTGCGAGTAAAAATGTTATTGTTTCCTCAGGAAAGCGCAGTAAGAATTTTATCAGTGGTTCTCTATAAGGACATGACGTTTCAATTGAAACATTTTCCTCAAATGTCATTACTAGACGTATTAATAAAATGACGAATTTTGCCGAACATGTTGGAATCAAATGAAACAAATCAATAATTGCTGCTATTTTCAATTCTGTTTCTCCAGTTTTTGCAATCTTCAAATAATTTTGATCTTTGTTTGCAATGATTGAATTTTGAATTAACTTCTTTACAATCTCGAATAACTGCTCACACGTTTTTTCAGTAAACATTTTAGGAAACAGCAAACAATAATATGATAGCCTTTTTATGCTGTTTGAGGTCCAACTATTATAATCGCCAAGAGATTCCAAAAATGAATGTTGAACAGGCCAACCAGTTTCAGATTTTTCTTTGCAATCGTCTATTAGTTTTTTAAGACACTCAAAAGCAGTTTCTTGAAGGTTCTGATGATTCTCCAAAGCTTTGAACAAAGTAATAAAAGCATCTTCGCAAAAGTTAATGTTCTTAACTTTATCGGTATCGTAATGTTGGTTGTGATAAATATAATGCCATGATACCAATACCCTCATTGCGCTTTCTCTTAGTTCCGGCAGTACTTTTGGGTCTTTATAAGCATCACATCTTGACATTGTGTCGTCATCACATTTGATAATAATTTTCACATCAGTCAAAAACTGAAAGTTATCAAATTTCATCAATTTTGGTTCTAATGATGTACAAAAATAATTTGCTTCCAGAATTCCAATTTGTGTGCTTAATGGTTGATGTCGCAGATAAGTTTTGGCTGGTGAAAATACGATTACTTCAGTAAAGAAATTTTTGTACGGCTCCAGTAAATTTGATACATTCGTTTTTTGTAATTGTGCAATTTTTCTCAGAGATTTGGTTGCCACTTGTCGTATAAGCTTATGTGGACTTGCAGTTTGTAGAACTAATTCATTGACTATACTATTATATACTTTAATATATTCTTCAGTCATATTATTAGAACTTACATAATTCATTATTATTTCCAACAAAAAATCAATGTTTGTTTCAGCCACATCAATTGTCCCTCGGCAAACATTATCAGATAAATCTCGAATAACAAATAAGTGTGATTTAAAAATGGCAAATAGATTCTTGAAGAAAAGTGATGCTGGAAGCTGTTCACATAAAAATTTCAAAATAATGCATCCTCCTTTTTGAGCATATGATGATTTTTCATATAACAAATCAATTGCTCTCTCAAACATATATTGTGTCATTGGTAAATTGGCAATTCGATTAAGTGAACCCATTACATTTATAGCGATTTTTAAAATTATTTGTAAAATAGAAATTGCAAAATTATAAATAGTTTTGTCTTCGCTATCCAGTAAAGAAAATAAACCATCGAACATCAATAAAGGTTTTTGTAATGACTCTTCACTTGTCTTTTGAATTGTTCCAGTTTGGTAAGCAATTGCTATTATTGTTAATCTTTCCACTATGTGAATTGTAATCGGAAGTGCCTCTTTCTTTACATCCTTCAGATGAGATGCCAAAAACATGGCACTAAGTGCAACTTGCATTACTTCGTTTTCATTGTTGGAAGTTTTAACAATATCCTGTCCAATATTCTCCATTACTATATATTCCGTTTGTTGCAACAAATTCATCATCAAATTTTGATCATCATCTAGCTCTATATTAGAAAGCAGGAACAGTTTAACAACGTTCCAACTTTCTTTAAGGTAAAATGGTTCATTTGATGTTTTTAATATTTGGAAAGCAGACTTAATTATGTTTTTTGCTGGCACTTCAATGCGCTTATTTGAATAGGATAGTTTTAGAGTCAAGTAGTCATGTTCTATGTCTTGATGTTCCAATTTTTGTGGCTCTATTAGCATGTTTCTATTGCCACCACCAAATTTTCCTAAGATTCTAAAAGCACCCATTGATGAGTTGTCATGGTTTCTTAGTGTCTTCCACAACGATTGCATGAGTTCTGCTCGCACTGGCTGTATATGATCACAGAAAAAATCAGGTAAAAGATTGTCAACACATAGTTCTAAAGTTCGTAATCCTTGATTCACCAGAGTTGGCGAACCATTTAATGCTGATACAAGTGGTTCCATTAGCATTGGTAAAAAAGGAAGTAATGAAGATAATCGAACGGGTACAGTTAAACATAATTCAACAAATAAATCCTTCATTTGTTGTTCATGACATCCACTTTGTAATTTATTTAGTCCACCGAGAAGGCTTGGCAATAGTGGAAGAAATTCTTGATACAGAATATCGTACGTCCCTCCTCCAATAGATCGAAATAAAGCTCTTAGGAGCAGAAAGTAATTGTAAGGTTCTTCAGCCCTCATTGCCATTTCCATTGAATTAACAACTATAGTTTGTAGATAAGGTCGAATCATTCCTTCATTTTCAACACAAAACATTGACACGCTTCCAAATATCAATTTGTACATTTTTAAATAAAGATTCGACAGTTCTGTATCACTTGAACCAATTACTTTCATTCTCTTAAGTAAGAATTCAACCATTACAGATGCAAATATTGGAGATGTAGCACGATACGATAAAAATGTATTAATGATTATTTGAAGATTTTGATTTGTTTTCATTTTATCAATTAATGTATCAATGCAAGCAGTAAAAATTTCTTGAAAGTTTTGGCTTGAAAGATTCAAGAACAAGCCACTAAATAGTTCCAATAACTCCTTTTCTTCTCGCTGAGCAGCAACTGATAATGCTAGTTTCTGTTGGTTATTTCCGAAAGTGTTGATTCGATAAACATAAAAAGCTTCTAGTGACCAATTAAAGAAATTAATAAAATACTGTACTTCTTGAGGTGACAAGACAATCGAGATTTGTTGATTCGGCTGTGCTCCATTGTCAATAAAGCTTATGCCAAACATGATTGTTTTGATTCCACCAATAAGAGATTTTATCAATAGTTTGTACTCAGTCAGATTCAAATTTGATGGAGGTGTAAAACCTATACTTGTTAATTTTGATATAGCTTCTGGTATTATTTCAACAGATGTAAATTCTTTCGTTGTAGAGTCAGCCACGCCACTTGATGTCAATTGTTGATTACCTGTTGATTTCCATTTCTCCGTTATTATTGGCATTTGCATTTTACCAATTGTATGAAACTTAAGAATGAAAACTTTCATCATATTTTGTAGAAGAGTTTTACGAATGCTTGCATCACTAACGTTCATATCCAGTTGCCTTTGTGTTCTAATGCATTCAACAAGATTTAGTAAGAGTCTTATTGACATGATTTGAATGGCTAATGGAAGGGTTTCATCATGAACATTTTTTGAGAATAACTGAATAGCTTTGGATAAAACTTCAAGGTTCAATTCCATTCGTACATGATGTATAAAATCTCCGAGTGTAGAAAATGCTAAAGGACGTAGGGAGCATAATGCGGTATATCCAGATTTTCCAAGTAGTAAGTCTTCATCAAAAAGTAATTCTAACGAAGGTATGAAATGTGTTCTCAAATTTGTTGCCAATATGTGGCGAGTAGCAACAAGAAGCTCTTTCCTCAAATGAGCAACTTCTTTAGGGCATAGACGTAATAATAAAATCATCCCTTCGACCAAAGTTTTAGCATGATTCTCAATGATTTCCATAAGACCTCCAGAAAATGTTTTTATTGTGTACGCAAGAAACGCAAGAGTTTTTATCTGTGCTCCTAGGAAATCCACAAACAGTTCCCTATTAAATATTTCATGATCGCGAAATTCTTTTTTAGGTTCCAAAGTAATCGTATTAAGAATGGCTGGCAAAAAGACTACAACATGATCGTGAACATTTTGTTTGTAAAGCTGATACAAAAGAACCAAAACGATAGGAAGCTCTTGAAGGACTTTGAATGAATTTCTTCCTTTTGGCATAATTTTATCAGTTAATGTGTAGATATCATCAATATTAAAATTTGCCTTATCTAGCCTGGAGAATCGAGGGTCGAAAATTTTAATCATTTTATGTGGCAGGTTCGAGTAAATGTTTTGAATATATGCCAAAAATTCTTTAATCTATAAATAAATTTAACAGGAATAAGTCATACTAGAGAGATAATAAAGATATGCTTTCTAAGCTTACTTGTGGATAAAATGGTGGTCGATACTGCTTGTGTAAATCGATTATGATTCTCAAACATATAAGGACATTTTCTTCGTTATCTTCTCTTATAAGTGTAAGCATAAGCGATAAGACTGAAATTACATGAGGACGAATAGTTTCGGACACCGGTAGTCTATGCATCATTTCCAAAAGTTGTTTTCGAGTCTGTAATAATTTGTATGAGGATCAGAAATGTATTTTTATCCATACAATGATCATTTAATTATTTTAATTCCACGTATTTGTGATCTATATCATTAAGTACAGTACCTTTTGTGTTGGACTTTCCGAGAAAAATTGATATTCCCCATTATTGAGATAATTCATAAAAATATTAAGGACTTCAATAACATTATAGTTTTTATCGGCAATAAGTGCATCAAACGATTCACTAACTTCATTAATCACTTTAGCCTTTTGTTCTTCACTTATATTTGGGTTTTCTAATATCTTTAAAGTCTCCATTTTCACTTAATTTAATAAAAATTCTTTTTTTTTCAATTTCAAATTTCAAAACAAACATAAAACATATGGCTCTAAATCTTGTCAACAAGAGTATACGATAGTATACCTAAAAGCCGGTGAATTTTCAGTTTTTTGCAGATTTAATTTTTCCTGCTTATTGATTTATAATATATTTCACTAAATTAGATAAGGAAGATTTATATCAAATTATTGATATTATTAACACTTAGTATCATACTTTAATTAAGCTTAAAATAGCTTTTTTCTTTAAAATAAATAACGATCTTTTTATTTTTAAAACTTGTCGAATCCATTTCGATGAACTAGGTTTTTTTCTTGGACTCTTTCTTTTTTGCTGAATACAGAAATATCGTGTTCAAAAATTTCAATTAATTGGAATTAAAATGGTTAGTTAAAGTATTTCGGATATAAATTTATCATAGAAATGCTCACAAAGATCTCTTTTATCGAGTGCATATAAATTCGAGTTGATTTTATGTGGATATTTGTGATAAAATAGTTAAAATTTATTTCCCATACAAATCATTGAGGTTACACAAATTTTACAAATAACTTTTATTGTAATTAATTTTTATAGGTAAACGTTCCAAAACAGCGCAGAACATACTGCAAAAAATGTAACGCTCATCGCGTTCATAAAGTATCGCAATACAAGAAGTCTAAGGAAAGGAAAGCTTCACAGGGTCGTCGTCGTTATGATCGTAAACAACAAGGTTTTGGTGGTCAAACTAAGCCTATCTTCAGAAAGAAGGTATGTATACTTTATTTAAAAATCCTCGTTTAGCAATAGATCTTACATCAAGATTCTGGATTTATTGTTTGACATAAAATTGGAAATTAACTCTTACTCAAACCATGCAATTAATTTCAGGCAAAAACTACCAAGAAAATTGTCTTACGTATGGAATGTACCGAATGCAAATATCGTAAACAATCACCATTGAAGCGTTGCAAACATTTTGAATTGGGAGGTGACAAGAAGAGAAAGGGACAAATGATTCAGTTCTAAATTACTCGCCCCTAATATCTAATTCCATCTTATTGTATTCACTTACATGTCAATAAAAGTGAATCTTTGAATAATATTCAAAAATGCGTGTATAAACACTGCCGTTTTTTAATTTCCCTCGTGTCAATACGAATTTCAGCAACTCTAAAACCATTTTACTGGATGATTAGTGATTGTGATTATAAGAAGAAAGCTTAGAAATATGAGTATGAGTTTCATGGTAATAAGCACTAAAATTGCGAATATACTTTTTGGTTGGAAGTTCCTCAAAAATAAGAATAAAGATCATAAGCAGGTACACTTCACAATCTTAATCTCATAAGTTTTTAAATATTTATATTAATTTTTCAGGAACTTTAATCAAGCTTAATATACATAAAATAATTTTGAGGCAGTAGTGGATTCTGTAGTTGAATATTAACGGGTAAAATTTAAATTTTCAAAACTATGTCTTCACTTCTTATTAATTCTGTGAATAAAGTTTTATAGTTTTCAGGTATATTGCTATCTATTAGATAATTATATTAACCACACATTAGTAATTAACGTTTTATTTAGGGTTCGGAAATCTACAGTTATTATCAGTTAGTAACACTTATCTACAGTTATCTACAATTTGTAACTGTAGATAAGTAACTGTAGATAATTTTTTCAAAGTGGAAAAAAACGTTATTAATTTACTGAAAAAAGAGTTGAAATGCTAAAATCAGGACTGCAACAGCATGTAACAGTTCAAATAAAGTGACATTAGGCTTCATTCAGTATTTTAAAAGCGTTTGTGTGGTGATTTAATTGAAAATTAAGAAATTTTCGCAAATTTTTTTTGTTTACAAACATGTGAACAATATTTGAATTTCATATAACCGTTACAAATATTCGATAAACAAAAAGTTGATTTTTAATAGCTAATGTTGACATTTGAGCTCTCTTAATGTATAATAAGTGTATTCTATATATAAATTTATTAAAAAAGTCTCCAAAAATTGTTTGTTTACAAAACTTTGCAAATTTTTTTAACGGATTTTCTTCATTCAAAGAAATTATCTACAGTTTACTAACTGTTGATAACTGTAGATTTTGTGTAGATAATCTAAAAGTTGATAACTGTAGATAATCAGTTAGTGGTTTTCCGAACCCTAGTTTTATTAAGCTTTTTGGACTTACTTGGACAAAGTGATTAGTAAAAGCGCTCTTGTCACATCAAATCTAGTTTTAGTAGTTTTTAACTTATACAGCAGTCGTTATTTTTTGAATTCAAAGTTTTGTTTTGAAAAGACAGTTTGCTTCGTGTTTTCAATAAAATTATTATTATTAGCGATTTACACGATGGAAACCAGGAAGCGTTTATATAAAACTACCAATTTAGGTCTTACAATGACTGAGAGATTAAAAAAAGATAAAGGCAGGCAAAATGAACAGCGAAATAATCGATTTGCTGCAAACAGAAAAATTGATGTCGAGTAAGTAGTAAAATGTTTGTTCATTTTAATGGTATTTCATAACTTTAGACTATGTAGATGTACTTCCTTGTCGAGGACTCGACATATGCTCTTTATCGCATTCCGATTTTTTATTTGGTGAAATTATTCCTAGCGTATTGTCTGTATCTCAAATCGGATCCATGAATCTCCATTTCCGTTCACAAACTTACTTAATATTTTAATTTGATATATAGCGAGGATAATTCTATAACTACACCCGTTAAACCAGCACCAATTAAGTTATCACAAATAAAAGATAAGCCAGAGAAGTTGAAGGCATACATTGAACAGAAAAGAACTACTAAATTAAGGGAAAAGGTGGAACAACGAAGCCCATTCATACCATATGTCCCCAGTGGACGATGGATTGAACGAAAAGAACCGCTGAAAAAGCCAAAAGCATTCACTATATCAACTCCAATCAAAAATGCTTTGATGAGTGACGGCAAAATCTTTAAGAAATCAACGATCAAACAAATAGCTACGACAGCACGAAAGGAGAATGTTACAGCATTTAAGAAATCAAAGAAGGAAGAACCAGCTAAATCTCGAAAGAAAATCCTTACTGAGTTTAACAATGCTCCACAATTTGAGGAAAAATTAACTGTTCAGCCACAACTAAACCTTGATGATACTTTTGAGATCATTCCTGATCAACAAGACAATTTATTAAATGATGATTCTGTAATTGAAGTCATATCGCCTCAAATATTACCTTTGACATTTTCTGAAAATGTACATCATGATGAAAAATCTGAAGATATTAAAAGTGACGAGAAGGATATCGCAATAACCGTAACTCCAGTTAAGAAGTTATCTCCGATTGTTGAGAAAAAGATTGAATTGCCAGAAATAGTCAATAAGGATTTAAATCGAATAAACGAGATGAAAAAGGAAGTTAAAAAGCAAACAGCCAAAATTGTCGTTCCTGTTAAACGACCAATTCGTGAAAAGAAACCTGCTAAAAGTGTGGAATCAAAGCAAGTCAATAAAAATAAAAAAGTCCCTAAAAGCAAGTCCGTACAGGAACAAATTACAGTCTCGCCTGTTCAAGAAGAAGTCATCGTAAATCCAGTTCCTAAAAAAGTTCAATCAAGCACTTACAAGTTCTACAAATCATCTCTCGATAATCAAGTAGCTTACATTTCTATTCAGCTAAAGGCTTTTACTAACAATTTGGACAGCTTCATTAATAAATTGTCTGACGATATGCAAAGTAATATCCATCAAACAATTCAACAAGGACACTTATTGATTAATGAAAAAATGACAGGATTCGGCGATCTCCTTGAAAAATTTGAGAATGCTCCTGAGCCTAAAACTATCACAGATGACGATATTGAAAATTATTGGATGATGCTGTTTGATCAGGTTGAGGCATTTAAAAATAATTTGCAATTGCTTAAAGAAGCTAAATTAATTGCTACTAAAGATGAGAACAAAAGAAGAACCAGAAAGACTATCCTTGATACACCAACACGACGATCACGTAGAATTGCAGAAACAGGAGACACTCCAAGGTAGCAAATAACGGTTTTCTTAAAATTTGAATTTAAATAATTTCATTTGAATTTTTATCTGTCGTTAAAAAACAAATTGATTATAGTCCTTGAATTATTTTTATAGGCACAATGCAGCCAGCTGCTTCGGATGTACTCCAATATCAGCGTCAAAAGTCAACACACCCAAATCAGCAAAGACTAGACGTACAGCATTCAAAAAGAGCATAGCGTTTGATGAGTTATCCAAAAAGTAAGTGAAGCATTTTGTTTATTTATAGTGAAAATTTTGCGAAACTTTATATTAGGCATTAAGCTTTAGTTCATTTTTGTGGGTCTCATTACAATACTATTTTTTTACATTCATATTTTATAAGTTAAGCTATTTTTTATGTTCGCTAGTTTGAAATAAAGAAACTCTGAATATCACTGCTGGAAATAAGATAGGACAATAATTAAAAAGTTCCAACTGTTTATCTGACAATCTAAATTTTTATTATATACTTTTCAATATTCATAAGTTCATTAATCATCAATTATTTCATAAAACTGTTATTAGTAAGAAAAAAAAAAAAATAGAAGAGAAGTGGTTAGTAAGTATTAGCAATTCACAATGATTCCTCGACAATTTTTGCATCAGTTTTCTTGTCATCGCTCTTTTCTGCGTTCGACTGTTCTTCCTTAATTTCCACCTTTTCAGCCTTAACAGTTTTATCTTCCTTTGTTGCGACCTTAGATTCAGATGTTGATAGCTTGCTGTCACTTGTTGTTGACTTGACTGCTTCGTCTTTTGGCTTTTCCTTCTTACTATCAGATTTATCCAATTTTTCAGACTTGCGATTTTCACGATCACGAGATCTTTCGTTCCTTGCAATAACTGGAGCGATGCGCTCATTAATGGTTTGGATCGTTGAAAAGCATTCATTGTATTTTCTCTGTTTAAAAATAAGCATTAATCATATGATTTCTGTAAATTGTTAATAATTATACTTACAGTAACGCTATTCAAGTTAGATTCAGTATCCTGTAGTTTACGAGAAACTGATTTTAAATCAGCACTTAGATCCTTAATGCGTTTTTCATTCTTATGATTGGAGCTCTTTAAATCAGAATTGTTCTTTCTCAAGTCAACAAGTGACTTTTCACTTTCCTCATAAGCTGTTTCAATTCTCTTCATTTGATAAATAATTTGTCTCAAATTAACTGTTGTTCCTTCAAATGTCACAATTTCATTCGATTGAGTGACAACTTCAGTGTTTTGTGATGCTTGTGGTCTATTTCCTTGGACCATTGTTAAGAGTTGTTCTTCAGTGAGACTTTCAAATGGATTTGATACTGGCGCATCAGCTTGACGATCGGTTAATTTACGATAATACAAAGAATCTCGAGTAATGAACTTCTCAGTCAATTTTCGGATTTGAGAACGAGCTAAATTAATACCGAGACAGTAAAATAAGTCTTCAATATCTTTCTCAAAGATATATCCGCATTGAGTTTGATCGAAATAATTAAATGAGAGAAGTAAGTCAGGAAATGCTGTAATTTGCTTTATAGCACGTTCTTTTTCTACACCACGTCTACGACTATGATCACTTTGATCGTCAGAGTCTTCATGACGTTTGTCAGTTCCACTACGCTTTGATTTGTCCTTTTTATCTTTATCTTTTGATTCTTCAGGATTTTCAGAAGTATCATTGGATTTTTCATTCTCTGCATCATCGCTCTTCTTTTCATCATCCTTAACTTCTTTTGGTTTATTATTAATACTCAAGACATTAAATGATTTATAAATATTAAATCCAAAGTCCCTCATCAACATTTCATTAAAAGCTTCAGCAAACAATCCAATTTCAAATGAATGTTCCTTAGTATCGTCCTTACGATAATCCAATAATAATGACAAAGAAACGACAGTACAATCAAACTTTCCATTCCGAGCCGTTTTAGATGGATGGACAACAATATGTGGAGAATCTGGCAAGACATAACGTTTTTCCCACATTGCTTTTTCTTTTTCGTCCATCTTTTTCGGTTCTAGTTTTTTCTTTTGACTTACTTTCTCTTCCTGCTCGTCACATTTTGTAGAATCATACTCATCAATTACAGTAACTTCAGACATATCCATTTCTGCAATATTCATGTCCATATCTTGATCTTTTTGCAAATTATCATCTTCAATATTTGTCTTCTCGACATTTTCATCTTGTTCTTCAACTTGCATTTCTTCGGCTTTCTCATCAGCCTTTTCAGCATTGTCAGTTTCCATAGAGTCTGGATTAAGTGCTTGTTGCAAGCGTTCAACAAGTTCGTTTTTCAAACCTATAAATTTGATTTTAAAACAAATATTTGATTTTGAAAAATTTGAATGGTTTTCATAAAGTAATTTGAATGGTTTTGGAGTATCGATTTTCAACGGTTTTTTTTGAATATCAAAAAATTGAAATTTGTATGGTTTTGAAGCATTTGAATTATATATTTCAGTTGAAAAAGCTCACCTTTAGTTGATAAGCTACGAGCTGAAAGTTCTGCACGCAATTCAGTAACTTTCATAGTTGATGGATCCAATTCAATTTCATCAGATTTTACTTCACTGGCCTCACCATCCTGTAAAATATAGATATCTTTAGTGTTAAATGTCTAGGTTCGTAACAACGATATGATAAATCTATAGGAAATTTCTTGTGTATTTTTTTGTTGATTTTCTAACGTTTTTTAAAGAAAAAGATATGAAAATTTCCAGTCTAAGTTTTGAAAAAAGTAATAAGAAGGAAGCAAAATTTTATGTTAATCATAAATGAACTCATTCACTCCGCTTTGACACATTCACAATCGCAATCATTTGATTTTTTTTTAAATTAATTAATAAGTTTGGATTTTTTTCATCATCTTCTGAATTTTTTTTTTTCTTAGTCCTAGCAATATCCAAACAATAAAATGTTAATTAAGATGTTTGATTGTTTTGGATCCTATTTTTTTCCATTTTTCCTGATCTCTTTGATACGAGAAATGAAAAATTAATGAGATATTAGAAAATATGATCCAAACAACAAAAGATAAAAACCATAAACAACTTATGATTTTTGTCAATCGATGCGATTTATGAGAAGCAAGATTTACAATTGAAAGATCTTTTCCGTCCGAAATGTCTTCTGTTTTCGAATCAGTCTCCTTTTCATCCTTGTCACCCAGCGCAGTTGTTGTTGAATTTTCGTCAGTTTTCGCTGAAATTTCTGATGGAGCCGCAATGTCAATTATCTCGTCTGAAGCAGCAACAACACTATCGACTTTTTCGATAATCTCCTCATCCTCTTCTGGAACTGGATCGTTGTCAGCTGTTAAAAGTTTTTCTAATGCTTGCTTATATTGTTGCTGAACGCCTTCCCACTCACTTCGATTAGGCATACAAGAGTGAACATCAGGCAAAAATATAACAACAGTTTCGATTCGTGCTGGCTTAATCGTGCTGCCACTATCGCCCTCTTTTTTATTTTGCTCTGTACGACGATATTTTAATTCTACAAATCGATACCTATTGATGAACAAATGAAGGATGGTGGACAAATTTAGTTGCTTTCAATAAAAAAATAATAAATGGTAGTTTTTTTTTTTGAGATCGTTTGCATAACAAACGTCAAAGTAAAGAAATAAAAGACTATAAAAAAATAGCAATATTAGGACATCAAACCATATTTTTTTATATCATTAAAATTTAAAAAATTCAGCATTCACTTTCTCTTTTAATAATTTTTCAGTTTAAAAGGTTTTCATTTCAGGTTCAACGGTTTTAATTAAAAAAAAAAATAATAATAATAAAGAAAATAACCAAAGGAATAATAAATAAGGATAATACTTACTTAGTGCACAACAATAGATTTAATTTTATAACAATTATATGTGACAAAAACAGTTAAGACACACTTTGAGATTTCTTTGTATCAATCTCGTGAGATAACAAATTAAATCTATCAGAATTTAGTATCACACAAAGCATGCAAAATAAATTCTAGCTTTTTTAATTAACCCTCTTTAGAAACGAAATTATTACATCGAATTCTTCTTTTTTTTGGCTTTAATATTCTCATTTTAGGTTTTAAAACAATCGTATTGATTCACACTTACCATTGAGTGCATTTTGATAAATCAATTCCAGTTAATCCCTTGCATGTTCGGATTGCAGTACGAATCAAAACACTTGGATCATTTTCTGGATTTTCACCTAAATTAAAAACAAATTCGCATTAATCATTTAGAAGTATGAAAGCAAAATATTTTAAAAATATAACGGCAAAAATGATTTTAAAACTTGAAGCACGTTTGAACCGGTTCAAATATCTTTTGACTGGTGTTTTTTAAAAATAATTTGACAGTTATTTAATGACATAAATTTATAAGTTAATTAATGCAAGCTTACCATCAAGTTTCTTGCTCCAAGGCCCTCCAATAGCCATGGTTTCATTTTTACCACGAACACCGACTAAGAAGTTAATTAAGCGACTTGGATGAATGAAATCAGCATCATCGTGTTTATCGCTGTCTTCTGCACGTACAATACACTTCTTATAAATGTCAGAAATTGCTGGCACTGAGTTAAATAATAAAACATATAATTAAGAAGAAGAATTGTTTACAAATAAAAAAGTATTTACTAGATAAGAGCATGACTTTTGCCGACCATGAATAATCAGCATCGCTTGGATCTAGGACACATTCAGCAATAGTTTCATCGACTGGAGTAACGTCCTTCATGATATGAAAACTGCATGGTTTCTGGATAGAAAATGGTTTATGCATTGGAAAGACATTCATCCATTTGTTCTCATGGGAAGTAAAATCAGATGGAATATAAAGATTCGGATAGCGACGCTTGACTTCAAAAACATCCAGATTCGAAAGGGATAGACAAATTTTCGGAATTTGAACCATATAACGAGGAATATTATGAGCACGTCTACGTTTTGGTGATGGTCTTCTTATTGGACTTTTTGTTCTGTCACGAATCTCTACACTTTCACGTATACGAGGACGTTCTCGCTCATCTCGGCGTCTTTTACGATCATTATCTTCCGGTACAATAGAATTCTATACGAAATTTTAATTAATTACTCAAGTATCTTATATTGATATGGATATAACTTACATCATTATCGCGATTATCTCTGGAACGTGGGCGTCTTTCATTGCGGCGATCTCTTTCCGGAGAATAGCGACGATTTCTATAAGAATCGTTGGATGTTTCATGTTGACTGTAAGATTTATTGTCAACAGAATTACTCGTAGATGATGTATTTGCTCGAGGCAATACTTGAACGCGAGTAGCATTCCATTTGAATGGCATATTTTGATTATATGCAGCCTCAACAAGAACTCGATCACCAAGCTATTAGTCATATACAGAGAATAATGGAATTATGTAAGAAATTTCAAGTTGGAATCATAGAATAATGCCACAAACCTTTGGAGAGAGCCCTTTAACGCAGACATTCTTATGAAACAAAACTTCATCGTCTATAAATCCAATGTCGTTCTGTATCTTCGATACAATTCCGGTACCTGAAAATACTTTTAAGTTTGCATTGTATTTTGACTGGTTTGACGAGGTTGACTGTTGTGATGCCTGGCTATTTTGCTGAGAAATGGTCGGTTGAGGCTGTTGTTGCTGAAATGCCATAGTATTGACCCGAGCATTTGCTGGATATTGTTGAATAGGTAAATGAATTTGGTTATGATGAAATTGTTGTTGTTGTTGTTGCTGAAAAGCTGTATTAAATCCAAGCTGTTGTAGCTGCTGTATACTCATTTGCTGTTGAAAGTTTGCGACTGGTACATTCTTTTGAATCCAAGGAGGATTCTTTTGATAACTCATGTTTGCCTTAATATCCTTTAAAATGAAAAATCAATGAAGAAATGAAAATCTCGAAGAAAAAAATCCCTTTCTGCAAGTTAAGTTTTTCTCACAAAATGTAAGGGATTTATCGATCGAAAACCTGTATTCACACCGTTAGTGCTATTTAATAAACTACTATTTTCATGCGTTTTGTTTACATCTTGAAATTTACCTTAAAATCAGATTTATTAACTGAATTGTTCAGTTTTAAATGCACAATTAAGATACTGTTTTGTTAAAACTATTTAAAAACACTAGTTATAGTTTAATTAACACTTTTTCGAATATTTTTTTCTAACCTAATCCTAACCGATGTTTTGATTTGTGGGGGCTGTTCGTTTATTACGTAACGCTTATTAGGGTGAACGAAATGAAAAACATTTTTAAAAATATTTTGACAGTTAAATTATAAATCTCTTTTATTTATTGAATTGTGATAAAAATAGAAAATTCTTCTTCCTAGTTTTAATTGTATTTGCTTTTTGAGGTAAGTTAAATGTAGGCGGTTCCTTTACTACTTCTCCAAACTTCACATGATCTTGTACTGCATGTTCTTCTAGCATTAATTTCCTCTTTTGCTTGGCACTAAATTGGTACTTGACTAAAGGAAATTCAGGAACATCTTCCTCTTTCTTTTTTGTGGTTGCTTCCTCGTCTTCCTTGTCTTTATCCTTAAGTTTTTTAACTTTCTTTTGATTCGCTTTAATCAATGGATCTTTCTTCATTTTAATCTCGCCAGTCACTTCATCGCGTATGATTTGGACATTAAACTTTTTTGCATATTCTGCTTCCTGCTTTTTCTTATGAAGAAGATGTTCAACTCTTCTTAAATGCTGCTTATTTGATTCATTTCTCAATTTCTTTCCGATGCCTTCACTTTTGACAAAATCATCATGAACTGTTATCCTTTCTAAAGTAATTAATATATTAGTAATGCAGAGTTGCGACGACAGGTACCTATCACAGGCACAGGTCCTGTCAAAAGATCACCTGTCACAGATCTGTGACTTGATTCAGAGGTCACCTGTTAACATGCCATCTGTTGACAGATCTGTGACAGGTGGGCTGTTTTAATTGACCTGTGACAGATTGCAACTCTGTAGTAATGTTTGTTTATTTTGTTGTAAGGTGTTAACTTACTTTTGTTTTTATTGTTTTTGCCGATTGAACTGACCGATTTCTTTATTTCCATGAACTGCCTGAATCGTTTAGATATCTCTTGATCTTCTTTCGGTGGATTATTAATCTTTTTAAGTTCGACAAGTCTGAAAAATATAGTATAATTAAATTAAACTGACTGGCTGATATAATAATGATTGACTTACTTCTGTTCACGTTCTTCTCTTTGTTTCATAGGGTCTCTGACTCCATGATGCTTACATTTCTTCGGTTTTCCCATGATATTTAATTAATAAGACTAACTCGTGTGTTGTTTTTATTAACTTGTTTTTCAATAAAAACTGTGTTGTCATAATTTTCTTTGTCTGTCTATCTTCTCAAAAGGGGTACCCCAGTTTCATGGTTAAATTTATTTATTTTTTTTTGAATTATTATCACTTACTATAAACCGATTAGCTTTGGTGATTATGACAAATTTATATTACTATTTTAAGCTGCAGATAGAATTTTGTGCTTAGCAGGAGCTATTGTTTGATATGTTGGATTACCGGTTTTTTAAAATTTAAATTTTTTTATGGTTCTACATTTTTCATACCCCTTCTTTCTTTTCGTTCGAAGTTTCTAAAGACGTGAACACTTTAAATTAAAATAATTAAAAAATCATGGGTTTTGCTCGTGTTTGGTACGCTCATCCAAGAAATTATGGACCAGGATCACGTCATTGGTATGTACAGCATAAAATTTGCATGAAAATTGCACATAAAAGTGGTTAATTTATCTAAAATAAATTCTAACCTTTCAATCGCAAGTTTTTTTTTTGTTTTTAATAAAATTGTTCAATTTTCTACTCTATTACAGTCGTGCCTGCTCTAATGGTCATGGTATCATCCGCAAATATGGATTAAATATTTGCCGTCAGTGCTTTAGAGAGTACGCAAAAGATATTGGTTTCAAGAAGGTAAGATTAAAATTGTCAACATTGTGATTTCAATAATTATTTTTATTACTTTCATTGCAGCTCGATTAAATTAATGAATTCGAAGTTACTTTAATTAATCTTACATCCATGATTAAATGTACACAATCAACCTCAGTACATGTGAATAAACAAATTCATTAAAACCAAAAGAATCATATTGTGGTTTCTGTGATAAAAATTATTAAGTTTGATACTTTTCAGGATGTGAACAGTTTCCAATCTGGATTATTTCTATTTATGCCGCTTATTTTTTGTTTATTCAGGATTCTTTTTCTTTTTCAGTGCCTATAAATTTGTCAAGATAAATTACTAAAATGCTAGTATTGTTGAGCATCATATTTGAATCAGACAGCTATTAATCTTAATATTTGACTAAGTTTGAAGGTCAATCCTACCACAAAACTTCACATGGCCTCACAACCCTCAAACTCGGATTTCCTTAATTCCACAAAAATTTTATAAATGGCTTCACAAACTCCCTAAAACTCAGACCCCCCTTAATCTCACGAAAATTTTATAAATGGCTTCACAAAATTTTATATGGCTTCACACCGAACTTTTTACCCCCGACACCCATCTTGCCAACACCCCCCCTCAACTGACACCCACCTTGTTACCACCCCTCAAATCATTGGCTTCACAAATCCCCTCAAATTCGGACCCACCTGACACCCACTTTGTCAACCCCCCCCCCCCCCCCAACCTGACACCCACCTTGTCAGCACCCCTTAAATCATTGGCTTCATACGGCTACACAAAATATACCTGACACCAACCTTGCCCCACCTCCCAAAATAATACCCCCCATCACATGGCTTCACAAATTCGGACCCACCTGACACCCACTTTGTCAATCCCCCAACCTGACACCCACCTTGTCAGCAACCCTTAAATCATTGGCTTCACACGGCTACACAAAATATACCTGTCACCCACCTCCCAAAATAATACCCCCCATCACATGGCTTCACGAACCCCCTCAAATTCGGCCTCACCTTACTCCACACATGATACCCTAAACAAAAACTATAGGGCCATGTACGGATGGAATGTAAACAACTAGAAGTCTGCAATGTTTCGTTTATGAGATTTCTTGATGATTAACAGGATTGTTTGCTTGCTTAAAGAACGTGTATATTGTGATTTTCTCAGCAATGTCTTAACAAATTTAAAATCTACTTTTTGTAGAAGGTGTAATATATAGGCACATATTTTTTTTCTGGAATTTTTCAGCTTGCTTGACTTCCTCACAAAATACGAAAAAAACTTATTATTCAATCTGAACTAAAACAATACATTCACACGTAAATCATACTTCAACATAACTTACAGTCTTGGATTTATTGATCAATAGGGGATGTCGAAGTGAAGATTATTATTAAACAAAGTTCATAAAAACTGGACACATTTTTAAAGCTCAAACATGCCTGATCCTTACAAGAAAGATCCTTACTGATCCTTGAAGAAAAAAACTCAAGAAGAGCAGCAAAAGGTTTTTTCTTGGTTCCTTTATGTTTTAGATGTTGGCAAGATGGAAAATTTATGCAAGGAATGTGAAAATGTTGATCTTGTTATGAACAAGTAATGCTAAATCGCAAATAGCAAATAGATTTCAAATTCCAATTCCTGTTTTTATTACTAAGTTTTTCTTAACTTGCTTTCTTATCTGTTTGATTGATTGATTGATTGTCGAGGGCAAATCTTGTAATCGATTTTTCGACCACTTCTGCTGCTCCAATCGAGATTTTTATTCACACGTATGTATGTATTCCCGGTGACAATACAATATTTTAGCACATTGGAACCACAAAAATGCTTAATTATAGTACAATTCTAATAAAACTTTTTTAATTGGGAGAAAATATTAATGTCAATTATATAAAATTTTGATTTGTTTAAAATATTTTACTTGAAATGTTGAAAAGTCATTTACATGATTCATTATAGTTCAATCAATATTACTAATTATTAAGATGGGGGGTAAAATACCCGAAAGATATTAATTCCACGATCCTGCGGGATAATAACCCCGAAAATCGCAGAAATACACGTGGAATTATTATCCTTCCGGAAAGATAATAATCCCACCTATAATTGAACGCTTTTGCCGAAGAACGTGACGTGAAAAAACGGTCATTTGGAATTTGAAAATGATTTAACCGATTTTTACAAAACAAAGAAAATTTTTTAAAACTGATCAACGGTTATTCTTACAATAAAATTAGTGATTTTTCTTATACTAATAAATTTGCCAATAATTGATTGAATTAATACGATTCAATAGAAATTCATTAAGATTTTATTTGAGAACAAAATAGGATAAAAATATTAAAAAATAAAACCATGTTAGATTATTCATTTCCTGCTTGAATGTGGTCAAAATCGTCGGAACAAAATCCATCAATATCATCCAAGAAATCTTCTGCTTCTCGCTGAGTCAACTCCTGAATGAAATCACGTCCATTTGGTGGAAGATATTGGGCAATTTTTAGTAGATCTTTTTTTTTGGCTTCAGAGATTTTTTTTCCATTTGTATATAAAATTTTAAAGCTAATTTTATCCCAATATAGAGACTGGACAGCGATAATTTTTCGAACTCTCTTGATTTTTGCATAGTTGAGCTCGAAATAAGAATCATTAAAATTGTAACGAAGAAATATTGAGAAAGGGACTGAAGCGTCGATCATCATTTCACGCGATTTAATCCACGAAACTTGCTCTTTTGTGTTTGTGTCAAAATCCCGTTTTGTTACATTTGCTAGTAACATGGATGGATCTAAAAAATCTTTAGAGCTCATGACGGTGACTTTAAATGGATTGTTTTTCTTGCATGACATCATCAATGTTGTGTATTCAATTGGTGTACAAATTGTCTGAATTTTTTGAATTTTCTTCTCAAAAATAGCGAAATCAGCATCACATGCATTATATGAATGACCAGAAACGAGAAATTTAAATGAAATATTTTTGATAGTCTTATGAGTTGATAGGAAATGATGAAGCATAATGGCAACAATGTGGTTCCCGTTTTGTCCTCCACAAGAATCTCCCCAAATGATGATCTCCTCACATGACTCGTTCCATGAATTTTCTAAATATTTTAGCAGACAAGAACCTACCTCCCGTGAGCCTCTACCACCATCAATTTCGGTCCAAAAATGAAAATTACCATTTCCATGTTCATGGATATTAAAGTTAAAGCAATTGAAGTTTCTTGTATAATACATTAAATTAGTTTGAGCTCGAGGAATAATTAAAATCTTTTGCAAGTCTACCACTAAACAACGAAGTCTTTGATCCACCTTTGCTCGTTCCATGTCTTTAACCATCTCGTCTCTTACATTTTTAGCGAAAAGATGATGCTGATCCAGAATATCAATAAATTTGGCTCTTTCTGATTCCGACGTTGCATTCTTTACCTTGTTATTTAGGGCATCACACAGTTTGCAAGTATCAGTTTGTAAATTTTTGAACTTAAGTCCCAATGATTTAAATACCTCATAATAAAAAATATAACTAGGTGGCTTATCTTCAGGATCGCTTGAATTTGAATCGTGTGACTCGTTCCAAAAAGCAAGGAAAAGTTTATACATCTCAGAAATGTTGAGTGATGGATCCAGATAAAGGGAATTTGACGATTCTCTTTTGTAATGACTACAGTACGTGGGAAAACTACGAATATGAGAGATGACTGCTTCTCTCTTATTTTCTGATAGACAATAATGGTTTCCATGTTTTCCACGCCTATCTGAAGTGTCTTCTTTTTTAAACTTATCCAAAGCTAGCCTAATGACATTCTTAGAAATTTCCAAAATTGAAGTGTAAAATAAAACACATACCGACTTTCCAAGAAGAAAATATTTTTTTCGTTGAGGATCTGATGAGTCAACTGATGCTACTATAAATGCCACTCTTGCCTGATAATCAAAACTCCTGTAATTTTGCTTGATTTGCTGAATTTTTTGTTCGGTGAATTTATTTTTACAATTATTTTTGCAGCATGTCTTCTGATTCTTAAGATTACATCCTTGAGTGTTCAGTTCACTTGTCTGTTGTTTTTCTCTAACCATTTTGAATTAAAGTACAATAAACTCAATAAAAAAATAATAAAATTTAATTTTACGTGTGTAAACAAAAAAAAATTTCTTTGTTTTGTAAAAATCGGTCAAATCATTTTCAAATTCCAAATGACCGTTTTTTCACGTCACGTTCTTCGGCAAAAGCGTTCAATTACAAGTGGGATTATTATCTCCCAGGTAGATAATAATTTCACTTACATTTCTAAGTGGAATTATTATCTTTATGGAACACGATTAAAATTATGGATTAAATCAAATCCAAAAACTTATTTGTCATAGTGGATAATAATTCCACTTGTATTAATAAGTGGATTTATTATCTAATAGGATTTTCATTCAAAAAAAAATCCCACTTATTAATTTGTCAATTTCATTATTCCAAAAACTTAAACTTAAATATGAAGAAAACATAAATATTGGTTGAATGTTTGCTTTTTAAAAATATATTATTCCAAATTATTTAAAAAATAAAATCAAGGTGGGTTCAAGTGGGTTCAACTGATCTAAAGATGTTAGCTATTCCATATAAAATTATGTTCGAGATT